ATTTGCTGGTTGCCCTTCCATACATTTGTTCTGCTGGAGCTAAACCATAATCACTATAACATTGAGTTTTTAAAAGCTGGGTTAACATTGGGCACCAGTTTTGCCAGTGCTAATAGTTTTTTGAACCCTATTCTGTATGTTTTCATGGGTAAAGACTTCAAGCATAAGTTCAAGAGCTCTTTGTTGTCAAAAATAGAGAACGCAATGGGTGAGGAAGTTCGTACGACCAGCTGTTACTTTTCCAGGTCCAGTTCAATGGATGGCAGAGCCTCCGCCCACCTCTGAGGCAAGAGGCTGAGGACTATTTACAGGGGGCAGTCATGCTCCATGCTGATGCATTGACGCCTCTCAAGATGTGGTTTCACTGCATCAAAGGCACATGCAGACAGACTCAGTCCATCTGAATTGAAAATGCATTTTCACACTCAAGGCAGAAAAGGCCATGGAATTAAATGACTTGTTTAGTACAATAGGGAACATAGACCTAAGACAAGTAGGAAAAAAGTTTTTAACTTTCACCATGCATTCAATTCCTTACCCTAAATCACTATATCAATTTGTGTTTTTCATGCAAAAGGTCTGCATTTCCTGCAAGTCACTGTTTGACAGCATATGGGGGGAAAAAAAATTATAACGCACTTTGTTTTGTTATTGTCACTTTCTGTTTACAGTTCACATTTATATTGAGACACAAAGTTATTGCAGATTTCATCTAGAGTCACAGAATGGTACAAAAAGCTAAATATTTGACTGGCAGTATACTATAACCAGGTTGGTTGTTTTTACTGTTCTTTAATTGTAATATGTAGGATTACACAGCATTTAAAAATATTACTACAATACACTTACAGACAGCTGCCTTTAAAGTATTAATCCCAGAAAATCACCAAAAAGGTTGTTTCTCTATATTATAAATACCATAAATGCAGTTAAGTTTCTTGTTAAATTTACTATTAAATATGTAAGATCTGTATAAGCACAAATAAATAGTGCTTCAGTAGTGTACAAGTTATATGTTGCATTAACATGACTCTGTTTGTCTAGTAACCCTGAATCTTAAAACTAACTAAAAAAGTAACCCAAGCTTGGTTTTCACTTTCAAGAATGTTCCTCATAAAACTCATGCGAACCGGAAATGCAATGTGTTAAATGTTTAAGAGAACAAACACTTTGTGCATGTACTGTGACTGACAGCCAGTATCAAGTCGCTGAAAAGTGCTCTTTGGTAAGTTTGCACCAATGCATTTTATAATGATGATGATAATAATAATAATATTAATTAATAATGATATGAATTGCTCCAAGTCACTATCTTATGCTATGATAATATAATACTTTTCTGAAGGGTTATGCCTGTTTTAAGACAAATATACTTTTTTCTGTGTTCATTTTACAAGGAGACGTCTCAAATTAAGACTATATATTTAATTTCACAATGTGTGCTATGCAGTATGTGGCAAAACACTCAAATACTTAATACTTATTACTGTTACATTGTCTGTGTTTTTAGATAAATCTTTTCATCCTTCAATTGACATTATATGTTTCATTAAACTGCTTTAAAATATTGCAGTTCACAATGTGAAGCCTCATTTAAAAAAAGAAGGTTCTTTGTTTAACCTTTTTTAAGACTTTTGTCTTACAAATGTGCAAATGGTGATATTTAATTAATCTGTGATGATATATGTAAGATTGATGAAATCATTTATTGTTTACCCCTTTTCAGAAAGAATGTCAGCAGAAAATAATTATTCATATGACTATGATTATAATGATACTGCTTCCATAGGACCGAAGACAGGTGGCCAGGATGATTCCTGGATTTGGGACCGTGTGGTCCTGGTAGTAGTCAATTTTGTCATTTTTGTTGTTGGGGTTTGGGGGAATAGCGTAGTTATTTGGATAATAGGTCTCAAGATGAAGAAAACCGTCAACTTGACATGGTATCTCAGCCTGGCGATCTCCGACTTCCTGTTCTGCCTTTTCCTCCCTATAAATGCTGCATATATATTCACCGAAAACTGGATCTTTGGACTCTCCATGTGCAAGTTCATCTCCTTTGTAATGTTCCTCAACATGTTCAGCAGCATCTTCCTGCTGGTCATCATCAGTATTGACCGCTTTGTCTCTGTGGTGTTCCCGGTCTGGGCACAGAACAAACGCACAGTGGAGAAGGCATCCATCGTCATCATCCTGGCCTGGACTGTCTCCATTGCTCTAAGTTTTCCTTCAACAGTTTTCCGGAACATCAGCCTGGAAGGGAACAAAACAAAGTGCCACAATAATTATGAGCCACCCTCTAGCCACTTGGCTGTTGTCCTCAGTCGATTTGTGTGTGGGTTTGTTGTTCCTTTTTTAATCATTATCTCTTGCTATTCTGTCATCATCTGTAGAATAAGCAGCAACCGAGTAACTAAGTCCTCCAAACCATTCAAGGTCATGACTGCTCTGATAGGTGCTTTCTTCATTTGCTGGCTGCCCTATCATATTGTTGTACTGATGGAATTAACCCCTAAATATCAGGAGTCACTTGGTACCTACATACAGGTGTTTGTTACTCTTGCTAGTATAAATAGCATCCTAAATCCATTCTTGTATGCATTTATGGGTGAAGACTTTAAAAACAAATTCTGGCGCTCTCTGCTACGCAAAATTGAAAATGCACTTGGGGAGGAAACACATACCACAAACAGATGGGTCTCTGGTTCTAGTACAGTAGAAGTTTCCAATGCACGAGTGTCAACACACATGTAAAAAATAAATGTTTGCAAAAATTTTACTATGCTAAATAAAATGGCCTTGTAATGAGGAAATGTTTTTCTTAAGCCAGTTGTGACTAGACTATCTGCCGTGATATTCATTTTAAGATACTTCTCCAAAGGCTAAAAATTTAAGGAAAATATATACAAATTCAGATAATGCAGATTTATGCAACCTCTATGTGAAATTCAGTACTAAATGTTCATTATAATGAATCCAAACATTTAAAGAATATCCTGAAAGATTCTGCTGGGATGGGGAGATGGGAATCATATCTGCCCATTGAGGGAAGGTAGATGCCCCCCATCCCCACCTCCAACCACCACCACACCATCATGCTCAGTCTCTGAAATCTAGGAGCCGAGAGAGTTGTTATAAGATGACACCAGACCAAAAAGATTCAGCCTTTAAGTTTACTTAATATCCTAGGGGGTCTTAATATGTCTTTCATGAAATTACACTTATAAATAATGCATATACTGTAACAATATCTGCTTCAATGAAATCTGCAACATTTATTTTACATTCTCCAAATACTGTGTGTACTTTCT